AGCCCTGGGGCTTGCTGCTCCTCCCTCCGAGCAAAGTTTTATGCAAAGAGGGTATTTTTTTTAAGGAATCGGGAAAACTTTCGATGCACGATGATTTCTTTTTTCTTTCCTTTTTTTTTACGGCCTATAATTTTAAAAGGTCAACTCACTTGGTCTCCTTATTTATTTTGTGTCTACCGCAAATCAACAATTTGGCAGCATAAGTTTTTTTGACCTTTGGTTTTGTTGTTTAAAAATGGCTTTGCAGATTTAAAAATTGTTTAAATGACCCGTAAGAAATTCAGAACCGACACAGGCAGATAAGATATACATAACATATATGGAATATCCAGGCTTTTTGAGATTACACCGAAGGACCGTCTTTTGGTTGGCATAGCCACTTCTAGGAATCGGCTATCATTGCCATGTTCCCGTCTGGTTTTATGGGAAGTTAATGTCACTACTGTGTTAAGTAATGAGTACCTTGGTTTTCATTCGCTCCCTAAGCACATTTAAGCTGTTAAACATCATAATTTCATTGCTAACATCAAACACTTAATTTAATTCTAGAAAAATAACTAAACATGGGCAAAGGAGATCCTAAGAAGCCGAGAGGCAAAATGTCATCATATGCATTCTTTGTGCAAACTTGCCGGGAGGAGCACAAGAAGAAGCACCCAGATGCTTCAGTCAACTTCTCAGAGTTTTCTAAGAAGTGCTCAGAGAGGTGGAAGGTAAGAGAGCTTAAGATGTTACTACACAAGGTAATAACTAGCAATAATTTCCAAATTAGGATTGAGGGGGAGGCTATTAAATGGCAAAGGAAACCTTTTTTATTCCTTTTTCTGCTTTGGATAATTAAAATTTCTATTTCAAACTTACAAATACTTGGTTTTTAGACCATGTCTGCTAAAGAGAAAGGAAAATTTGAAGACATGGCAAAGGCGGACAAGGCCCGTTATGAAAGAGAAATGAAAACCTATATCCCTCCTAAAGGGGAAACAAAAAAGAAGTTCAAGGATCCCAATGCACCCAAGAGGCCTCCGTAAGTATTTTTTTATACATGTTTTATAGTACAACAAATAGAAATCTAGTATGCCACTTTGTGAGTTTGTACAAAGTTTTTTGGCTAATAGTGATTCACATTGATACATTTAAATAGTGTACATGAAATTCTTGTTAGATGGGAGTGTTAACCCAAGCATTAGATGGTTGCCTCCTTTGACCAATATATGTCCTGATAGGATTTTTTAAATCATATTGTTTTTTTGAACTAGTGATAATAATAATAATCTGCACAATGTTCTTCTGGAGCTCAACTAGTATAACTTAAATAATTATAAATTAACTTTTAGTTAAATATTTGTACCCTATCTAATGCATGGTAGAAATTAACAAAATTAATATATGTAGGGATAGAATACATGTTTGTTAGTAGTTGTTTTGGTGCTGTTATTACAGTCCTAATCCTAAAATGAAATTTCTCTTAGGTCGGCCTTCTTCTTGTTCTGTTCTGAGTATCGCCCCAAAATCAAGGGAGAACATCCTGGCCTATCCATTGGTGATGTTGCAAAGAAACTGGGAGAGATGTGGAATAACACTGCTGCAGATGATAAGCAGCCTTATGAAAAGAAAGCTGCCAAGCTGAAGGAAAAATACGAAAAGGTAAAAAGTGTGTGTACTTGTTTATAGTAAAAAAAAAAGGATATGCCAGAGGTTGGATGATTTTTTTTAAATACATCTCAATTTCCTGTTTTCTTATACTTTTATTTAAGTTTTAGTGTAGCAGCTACATTGGCTTGAATCTTTTCATCTTTAGAGTTGTTAATTTTTTACTTCATATTAATTATATTTGAGCCATGGTCATACATTTAAGCTGATTTCATTCTTCTCCAGTATCTCAAATTTGAAAATTTTGGTAGTTACTTTTGAGTCAAAATAATTTCCATTTAAATAGGCATTCATTATAAAAAAAAATAGGTCAGACAAAGTAACACTGGCTATATTTCTCATAAACATCCCCTGAAACATGTTCCTTCTCTTCAGGTGCCCCAAATCCCTTAGCATCACCAAATTTTCAAGTCTGCCAAAACTGGACAGTAAATTTGTAAGATGAAGAAAGCTATAAGTTTAATACTTTAATGGAAATAAATTTTAAGTACATGAATTTAAGCTTCTTTGTTTACTCTGAAAAAAAATAGTTGTTTCTTAATTGTTTTCTAACCTAATTGTATGCTTAATAGTGAATTACTTTTTTTTTTTTTTTGAGATAGTGTTCTACTGTAGATTAGTCTGACAATATAAACCTGTAGAATACTTTTTTGCATTCAGAAGGTGGCAGTGTCTACCCTTTAATCAGTCTCTGCACTCTGGTTTTAATGAACTAGAGTTAGGGTTGTAGTATGTAATTGTATCTCACTGAGGCACTACATTACAAGTATTAGACCGTGCCATTTCTTGAGTTATAGATTGCTAATTGTAATTATCACATAATATTTTTAAGTGTTTTTCCAAGTTCTGGTTATTTATGAAGGTGCAGTGGAGATGTGTGCTATTTGAATATAATTAGGATGTAGGATCATAAAGTTTTGCTTGCCCTTTGCTTAATAGTTTTTCCTTTTCCTGTTTTCTCTTCCGTTTATTTTGGAAGGATATTGCTGCCTACCGAGCTAAAGGAAAACCTGATGCAGCAAAAAAGGGAGTTGTCAAGGCTGAAAAAAGCAAGAAAAAGAAGGAAGAGGAGGAAGATGAGGAAGATGAAGAGGATGAGGAGGAAGAGGAAGATGAAGAAGATGAAGATGAAGAAGAAGATGATGATGATGAATAAGTTGGTTCTAGCGCAGTTTTTTTTTTTCTTGTCTATAAAGCATTTAACCCCCCTGTACACAACTCACTCCTTTTAAAGAAAAAAATTGAAATGTAAGGCTGTGTAAGATTTGTTTTTAAACTGTACAGTGTCTTTTTTTGTATAGTTAACACACTACCGAATGTGTCTTTAGATAGCCCTGTCCTGGTGGTATTTTCAATAGCCACTAACCTTGCCTGGTACAGTATGGGGGTTGTAAATTGGCATGGAAATTTAAAGCAGGTTCTTGTTGGTGCACAGCACAAATTAGTTATATATGGGGACGGTAGTTTTTCATCTTCAGTTGTCTCTGATGCAGCTTATACGAAATAATTGTTGTTCTGTTAACTGAATACCACTCTGTAATTGCAAAAAAAAAAAAAAGTTGCAGCTGTTTTGTTGACATTCTGAATGCTTCTAAGTAAATACAATTTTTTTTATTAGTATTGTTGTCCTTTTCATAGGTCTGAAATTTTTCTTCTTGAGGGGAAGTTAGTCTTGCTTTTGCCCATTTTAGATCACATGAATTATTACAATGTTTATCTTTTCATAGTAAGATGATAAAAACTTTTTGTCTACACACCCTGCATATCATGATGGGGTTAATAAAAATTAAATTGAGGACATTTTCATCCGTAACTGAAACTCCAAAACCTTGATCAGTTGATAGCTAATTTCACATAGCCCACTTACATTTACCAAGTGAAGGGTAGCCAATTCTATTCACAGCATGGGATTATTAGAATCAAACAATCTGAAAATCTGTCCTTGAAGGACTAATAGAGACGTATGTTCTGATCTTTACATGAGGACTCTATATTAACTCCCATTACCATGTAATGGCAGTTATATTTTGCAGTTAACACATTAAAGAAGACCTGAGAATGTATCCCCAAAAGCGTGAGCTTAAAATACAAGACTGCCATATTAAATTTTTTGTTGAGATTAGTCCCAGCAAAGGTTCTAAGAGTGCTGGCTGTAAATGCCTTTTCCCATTTATCTAAATATGGACTGCTCAGGAAACTTGAGACTCCATTGAAAGTATTTTTACTTAATTGGGACAGCTTATAAAATTACAATGCCAAGTTTGAAGTAGGGTATATTTTCCTATATTGTGGTTTGCCCATTTATAAATCAAAATAGACATGAGGAAAAAACTTTGCATCTCTACCAATTATCCAACTTATTTGATGGTTTTTTTTTCTTTTTTTTTTTTTTTTAATTTTTAACAAAAATCCAAACTCATTCATTAGAGTCATGTTTATCTACTTAGCAGTTTAGGGAACAATTTGGCAATTTTGTGGTTTTTGAGATTATCGTTCTCTTAAAGTGCCAGTGTTTTAAAATAGCGTTCTTGTAATTTTACACGCTTTTGTGATGGAGTGCTGTTTTGTTATATAATTTTGACTTGGATTCTTTCCATTTGCATTTGTTTATGTAATTTCAGGAGGAATACTGAACATCTGAGTCCTGGATGATACTAATAAACTAATAATTGCAGAGGTTTTAAATATTAGTTAAATGATTTTCACTTAAGAATTTAAGATTTTGTTCAATCATTTCCAATAATGCCTCCTAGCAACACCTTTTGAATAAGAATAAGGGCTGGCAAAGTTTTTCCCTTTAAAAATATTCACTGTAAGCTTATAAATAGGTGATGGGATGATGAAAACAGGTTTCATCAAATATTCCAAATACTCAGGAATATGTATATATAAACTAATTTCACTTTCAAAATGTTAAGATTATTTCAAGGAGAGGCACATCTAAGTGGAAAGCAGCATTAGGAATAATTAAAGATCTAACAGGTCTAAGTGAATGAGGACCTCAACAGACTGCAGTTGTCTTAAAGTTTTATCAAATTTTTAGTCAAGGGGAACAAATGTGGAACTACCATTGTCAACATCTGTTATTAAGTCTGATTTATTTAGAAATGAATTCTGCCTCAGGAACCTTCTTTGTAATGTTAGTAGGTGTGTCATGACACTACCCTGTTTAGGATGTGGAGAATGGGAACAAAGGTGATTTAACTGGCTTCTGATCTTTGAGGGAATGGACAAGACAAAACCTCAAATCAAAAAAACGAATGAATTCTTTTAAATGTCTATAAACAGTATCCCTTGGAACTCTAAGTAGATACTGAGTCTAAAACTCAAAGGCCTAAGACAATCATTTAGATAATCCAGTATAAAAGCCTTATTATTAAATGAGATGATATGGGGGTTGGGGGAGGGACTTCTAGTGCCCAGAAGTAATTGTATAGTGGTGTTTAAAGATTTTTAACTTAACAAGACTAAACAATTAGTATAAATTTAATAAGTTTTATATATTTTTGAAGTCAGTGTAGGGAGCATTCTGACCAAAATCCTGTTTTCTCATTTGCCTGTTGCTCATTAGTTACTATAATTAGTTTGATGATCTTCCATCAAGATTGATATTTGCTGGATTAACTTCCCAGAGTGAAGTCTGGAGAAGGAAAAGGTGTACTGTCCTTAAGGGCAAGGATTAAATGATAAAAAGGCAGGAAGCATACCTGTATGGTAGCCGTTCAGCAGGTACTTCCCTCACTGCATAGGGAATCAACTTGCTCTGATGTTACGGCAGTATCTATATTGAAAATAACACAGGAAATAAAATAGTGATTTTTTTAAAAAAATGAAAAACGGGGTCACTACCCAGCTTGATATCACAGTCTAGAATGAAAGTTAACTCTAGGTCTGTTTGGTATAACACCTGAAAAGGCCCCAGTAGTCTCTCAGTACCAGTGGAGCTCTTTTGCATGGATGGTGTTGTATTACTGCATTTGCATACATCAACAGCTCAGGTCTCAATCCCCAAGTGTGAACCATTGGCTAGTAATTAAGCTGTCTAACTAATAAGGGATTGTGATAATAGTTATTTAACCTTATTTTTCATACTAATGCTTTATTGTCACTTCCAAGTGATCTTTGAAATATCTTACTACTAGATAAAGCTAATGGTTTGAATATCTTTCCAACAAAATAGATGGTAGGTGCTTCATTTCTTGGTCTCTTTTTGGAGAGTGGTGGTGGGGAGCCTGAATTTGAAGTGATTTACCACTAAATTATTTCCCTTTGATAGAGACTGGCCTTGAACTTGGGATCCTTCTGCCACAGCCTCCTGAGTAGCTGGGATTAAAGGCATGCACCACTATGACAGGCTTTCTTGTCCCCTTATGGCAAAGCAGTGCTTAACACAACTAGGGAAATTCCCTGGGTCTCAGCCAAGTTGCCTCCCTGGAGTACTGAGGCAAAACGTTGCTCTGTTCTAGGATTGCTGCTATTTCATGATAATACTATGGCACAGAAATACATACCACACAATACAAAATGGCAAGGACACAATATGCCACTTCCGGTGGACTTCACTCTAAAATAGATCATATCTGCCAGACGGAAATGTAGTCACACCTTTAGGCATGTCCTGGACCTTCTAAATAGCTGAATTTTTTAGGTATCCACTGAAAAGGAAGTAGAAATAGATCTGGAATAATATGAAGACAGACCATAAGTGAGCATTAGAGTTATGTGGAAAATGAAACCCAGTAATAGTGGGAGAGTGTTTATCATGCTGGAGGCCCTGATTTTGATCTCTAGCACCAAAAAGGAAGAGAAAGCAAGGAAGCAAAAGATACAGAGATACTTGTAAATTTTTATGAACTAATTTTTCTCATTAGTTACATAACATTCCATAGTATGATACTGCATAAGAATTTGTTCATTCCCTTAGTGATAAACATTCAAGTTCTTTACCATTTTTTTCCATTCTAACAATGCTGCAGGGTACATTTCTCTTAGGCATGTGTGGTACTTTAGGAAAGGTACCTTGAAGTAGATTTATTGAGTCAAAAGATATTTGCATGTAACATTTTGGCAGATATTTGATAAATGGCCCCCCCAAAGGTGATTCTTATATGGTGAAACATTTTAGTAATGATTATATAATGATCAAGGTATTTTTTTTTTTTTTTGACCAGTTACTCATTGAGTTTGTGGAGGGAAAAAACAATTTTTAAAAAATGAAAAGCTGGGGCTGGGGATGTGGCTCAAGCGGTAGCGCGCTCGCCTGGCATGCGTGCGGCCCGGGTTCGATCCTCAGCACCAAATACAAACAAAGATGTTGTGTCCGCCGAAAACTAAAAAAAAAAAATAAACATTAAAAAATTCTCTCTCTCTCTCTTTCACTCTCTCTCTCTCTTTAAAAAAAAAAAAAATGAAAAGCTAAAATACTGAAATAGTCATTTGTCCAAAGACAGAAACACAGGCAGAATCAGAAATGAAAGACCCTGGGGAAGGATACTGATAATTCAAACTGTTAAACTATTTCTCTAAAAACTCACTGCAATAATTAAATATTGAAGTACTCTATTGCATGAAAATGAAGTTTCCTTCTGATTTGGGCATCCTCTATCCTGAATGGAAATTTCTGTTTTTTTTTCCCCCCTTCTAAGCAGAGAGCTTTTTCTAGCAAAGATTGTGTGTCAATCCTACAGAAACTGCAAACAGTTTTGGAGAAAGGGGTTTGGCAACAAGGGTTAACCAAAGATGAGAAATTAATGGACTGTAAGCCAGATTCTAGGAATTAGGAGATAAGTTATTTGGAAAGGTGGAATGGATCCTGAACATTGGCCTTAAATGGAATGAAGTTCACCACTGCTTCATTTCCTTGCTGGGGATGGTACTATAGGATAAAGGACAAACACAATTGCATTTATAGGTTTAAAGAGGAAATAAGCTTAGTTCCTTAGAATTACATAGACTCTCTAATTAGAAGCTTTACCATCGTTTTGGTTTTGGGTATCGATGATTAGAGATCATTTTATAAAGTCTTCTGAACATAACCAGGCAAGAGGATAGTCCTCAAACAAAATGAGTTGTTGGAAGCAAGAGAAGAGTACTCCTAAAGATAAACGTGCATGTGCTCACTTATCACACCCTCAGTTATCCACATAGTGTTCAGGGAGGTTCCCAGAGTAAGAACTTGGAGGCTGCTCAGAGCACACATTGCCACTCCCTCCCTTGTCCCCCCATTCCATCCACCTGAATTTCAAGGGAGGCCTGGGTCTCACTGCCACCTGGAACGAACCTGCCTGGTCTTGGATATAGTGAACACAAGGCACACTCAGGCTCAGAAGAAAGGAAACTGCCCAGACAGCCTCCATGAGAGTTGTCACTTCCTTGGGGCCCTTGACCCCAGAATAAAGCATTGCACCAGTGTCAGATCATAGCATGTTAGAGGCCAAGGGTCTCCAGGGACTGTTGCAGTTCAATCTGTACATTTTTATGAAGTAGTACGCAGAGGTCCACTGAGACTCAGACTTGCTCAAGGACAAACTGCACTATCACAACAACACAGCAGGGCCAGGCTCACCAGGTACAAAGCTGTGAGCTGCTTCTTTAAGGCTTCCTTCCTGTCCCCCACTTCCAGGCCGGAATTCTCCTGCCATGGCTGTGGCCATGTTTGAGGACAGTCTGCACTGGAATCACCAGAAGAATGGGGGCTGCTTACGCATCCTTGGAACTGTGACATGACCTTCCAGAAGTGGAAGGAGGATGTCAGTATACTCCACACACTTCACACTTGAATAATCTTTGAAAAACTGGTTGTCCTTGAAGTATGAATGAGATTCATATTTATTGACACCAACAAAGATGTAAAGTTCTACCAGTCAGAAAGACTATTAACATGTTGTTTGTCCTTCTACTTTATACAATAAATATTGTGTGTGTGCGCGCGCGCGTGTATGTGTGTGTGTGTGTGTTTGCAATTGAGGTAAGACTCACAAATCATTATTTTTATTTACATATTTATTTTTTTACAGTGCTGGGATGAAACTCAGGGCTCTACTCCAGCCCTTAACCATTTTAAAACGAGCAATAAATAAATAAATAAACAAACAAACAAATAAATAAATAAAAGTAAAACAAATTAAGTGACCTGGGGGAAAAAACTTTGATAATTTTTTATTTTCAGGCCAAATCTAATTTTTTCTTACCTGAGGGACCAAGTAGTCTTAAGTTATTGACAAAAATGCTTAGCACCTCACTAAATCCTAGAACATTTACATTTTGTTTCATTACAAACATCCTTTTAAAATTTTTTAAAACTTAATCCTTTTTTATTTTGACATAGGGTCTCAAGAAGTTGCCCGGGCCCCCAACGAGCAATCCTCGTGTGCCTCCCAAGTCGTGGGGTCACAGGTGTGTGTCATGTACCTAGCACGAACGTCCTTTTTTAAGAAAATAAGAAAAGACTGGTGCTTAATCCCAGTCCCCTGGGAGACTGAGGCAGGAGAACTGCAAGCGAGGTCCAGCCTCGGCAACTCAGCGAGACCCCGTCTCAAAATAAAAAATAAAAGGGCCGGGGAGCAGTTCAGCGGGAGAACACCTCTGGGTTCAACTCCTACTACTACAAAAAGTGAGGAAAGAAAAGGAACAAAACAAAGTCACTGATGCAAACACAGAAATCAACTGGGACATAATGATCTTCA